AGCTTGTCTGTTGCCTTACTCTAAAGCCCAGATTGTCTGAAGAGCCCCTGACCTACTCAGAAAGCAGCTTTACCCCCATGAAGCACCAAATTCAGGCAGAAATATTCATTTACTCCCACCAGCGGATTGGCAGAGTAAGGGACTGTCAATGAGCTTCGTTTTGCATGATCATAAACCACTTATATGCACAGCTGGTGAAACACGCTGATTCATAAAAACAAAGCACAAACAAAGGCTTACACTTTCCAAACCAAATCCCAGGAACAGAAATCAGGCCAACTTCAGGCAACATTTCACTGAGAAAAACACTGGCTAAACCTGTTTTGCTTTGGCCAGACCCAAGCGTGCACAAAGGTCACGGCATTTGTACAGCCCAGCACATCCAAGAATGCAGGGCTAAGAACACATAGGAGCCCTGGAGGTGACAGAAAACAGACTCCTCCATCTCCAAGCATGCTGGGTGCCTTCAGGTGCCTGCTTCACATTGCCTAGTGCAAGAAGATTCCTCCCAGCAGCACTTATGGTCAGACCCGAGACGTTTAGGGATGCGTCTACACGTGCAAAGTCAAAAACTGGGCCATTCTCCAAAACCATCAAGTCTCCAAACGCACTTCAGTCTGAAGCAAATAGGCAGCAGAAGCAACATGTTTCAGTTGACAGTTCCTGGGAAATTGCAAAGAAATTGAAGCAGGAAGCTGAGGTGCAGAGAAAATCCAAAGGTTTACGTTCAAGAGCTTTCCTGCATTAATGGGGGGGAAAGCAGATGGGATTGCTAAATTGTTGTCATTTTAACAGGCACCTTGTACAGTTCTTCTGTGCTGAGTGGGAAAAAGAAAATTCTTGGATCCTTGTCCTCCTATTTTAGAAACTTCGGAAGTATTGCCAACAGCTGAATCCAAAGCCTGTTTTTACTTAAAAAAAAAAAAAATTGGATCATGTATAATGAAACTGTCTTTTCCTAAAGTTTAACAAAATGTCACTTTCACAATGATTTTAGCCACAGCAGCCCTTCCTCAAGTCTCCCAGAGCTACTACTATTGTAGACTAAGCGTCTATCTAGCGTTTCCTCCTGTAAGGAGTTTCTGAGACCTAAAAAGAGCCTAGCAACCCTTGAAAAGCAATGTGTTCCATTGCACATCCCCAAACGTATACAGCAAAATGTCTCAAGGCACAAAAACACCCAGCAATGGTCATCAAGGTGGACATTTCAACACTATCTAAATTTTAGGCTCACACCCATAATTTCTAACGGCAGGGACATTAGAAAACAATGAATACATGAAACCGAAGACAAACATCCCCCTGAGATGAGAAAGTCAAGGATCTGAGCATAAGAGTGCAGTTCAGTGACAGACAACTGGTACTTCAGACAGGAACGAGGGATCTATTAAAAATCTGGAGCACATACTTACATTTGTAAAGAACTTAGGAGATGCTTAAGTTCTTCAGGGCGTGTGCTGCAACCAGAGGAAGTACCAGTCTACAGAGAGGGAAATCCTTAAGTCAGAATCCTCCCCCAAATTTCCTAAGTGGGTAATTTTTTTCCCAAGTGAAATATATACCCTAAGCAGAAAAAGAATAAGGAAAGGAAACGACACAAATGAAAGGTTTAGCTTCCCTCTGTCAGGCCAAGCTGGATGCGAGGGAAGGGAACCGAACAAGCCAGCCGTGGAGGAGAGCCACCAAGGAGCAGTGCACTAGCCCAGAGGAGGATGCCCAGGGACTGGGGGACCAGGTAAGTGACTCCCCCGCATTTGTAAAGAGAGGAGAAGTAGTAGACAGTGAGAAACATTAAAAAAAAAAGCCTAGGTAAGATTATGTATTAAAATTAAATAGTCATTATGAAGAGAAAACAGATCAATTTCACCTGAAAGGAGTTCAATCTACGAATTACCTTGACTACTGAAGAACTTTGGTGAATGGTTGCAAAGAACAGGCGATGTTCCAGGAGAATGGAAATGAAGACAGAAAACTGAGCCTTCAAGAGAGATCATTTGAAGAATGGAGATATAAGCAAGAAAAGATGAAATGGGTCAATGAACTGAAAATCTAGCTGTGTAAAATTTAGCCAGACCCAATTAAGGTGGCAAAATCAGAAATTCCTTTTTATATGTAGAAAATATAAAAGGGATAAAGAGGCAGGGTAGTCCAAACAAGCAGCAGCTATGTGAGCTCAAATGTGAGCACGGCAGATTTACGCAGGCGATTGGCAGAAACCTGGTCAGGTTTCTGCCTGTTTGTGGGGATTTGTTTGGGGGAGCTGACCACCAGCACCTGGGAGTTACAGGACAGGAGACTGGAGATCAGAGAAAGGGAGGACTCCAAGGTCACATGGTGAGGGAGTCCACAGGAGGGCCTCTCAGGGAGGACAAGGGATGTCACCAAGGAGAGAGGACGTGTTCAAGGTAGTGCTGACAAACAAGCAAGGGCCTTGTGAAGGGAGAGGAACCTGGTACCCTGTTTCCTGGATGCTGGCTCCTTGGGAGTCTCCCTCCACAAAAGCTGTGAGATTGAGGTGATACCCTAGTTATTCAAAGCAATGTCTAATTTTTCTTTACAGAAGGGACAATGGCAAGGATAAAAAATGAGCTCACCGAAAACAAAATAAAAACCCATACTCAAAACCAAATCCAGCCCCTCATGCCCCAGATATCCAGGTTTCCAGGCAAAAAGTCCCCTGGTACTTTCTGCCCAGTGGCAACACAACGCCCCAAATACAAGCATCATGCAGAACTGCAGGACAAGTGACAGCTCTCTTTCCCTCTCTTATACACACTCACTCACACACGCCTCCCCTTCTTGCTCTTTTCTGGAAGGGGGGATCCCAGAGCACTGCTCCCAAGTGGTTTGGGCAGTCTCAGCACAGATAGTCTGGATCTGGAGTGAGGTCCAAGGCGCTGGTGATGGTGATGGGGTTGCTGTCACAGCCCCGAATCCCAGCCGCGGAGAACTAGCAAAAGCCAAGTAATTGCTTTTTCCCCTTCCACTAATAAGCTTTTCAGCAGAGGAAGAATTCAGCTTCCTGTAGTCAACAGACCCTTTTTTCCCTGCCTCTCCTCGCTCCAAATAATCTAAAGTGACTGCAATTTCAGTGCTGGCTCTCCAGCATTCAGCTCCACCGGCTGAGGTCAGAGGGTGTCAAGTGAGGGCTCTCCATTTCTCTTCTACTCTGCCTGCACGCCACCGGGGCTTCTTTGTAACTGAGGCAACCTGCCTCCCCGGCCTGGCCATTGTGTGCATCACCAGCCCCCAGCACACCGACTTCACATTCCAGGAAATGGTTTTTAAGACCCAGAAAATACCAGGGGTGGGGGATCTCTATGCTGTAAACAACTGATTAGTAATGACCAACTTCAGATGCTCCGGTGACCCGAGCTGCTAATTTCCCAGGCTTTAGGACTACACTGTGGCCAGACATTTCTGTGTGTGGTGGTTACACTTGGTGGCTGCTTGGGTGATTTTCAGTTCTGTTTTATGCAAATGACTGTGGTCCCTAGATTCTCTTCTTATGATCTTGCTATGGTCTGATGTATTTGTGTGGGGAGTACTTTCAGGCCTGGCTTCATGTGGAATCAGCTGCAAGTGGAGGATTGCCCTGGAAAACTCTGCCCAGCCCCCTCGCTGCCTCAGTTCCAGATGAATGAAATGCGATTTCAATTAAGAAGGGCAGCGACAAGTGCTTCCCCTGTGCGTCTGGGTGGAGATCCCAGGGGAGACTGCACGAAGAACTGAAGGTGAGCACACAAAGGCAGGAGGGATGAGCAGAGAAAGAACAGGTGTGTGCAGGGAACTGGCAGGCCCCAGCAGGGTTCTGCCCCCCAGGTAGATGAGAAGAGGGCCGCGAGCAGACACAAGAGGCCTGCCTCTGGGAGAGTGGCACCGAGAAGGGAGACTGAGGCAGTGCGGAAAGATGCTGCTCCCTCCTTCCCACCCCAGCACCCCAGGCCTGTGGGGGTTCCAGAAGGTAGGAGAGAAAAGGAGATGCTCCTGGGAAAAGACTGGGAACCACCCCCCGACACACAACAGGCCCAGAGGAGGTGCATGCTCTCTGCTGGCTGCAGCCAGGCCTGTGATGGGAATTTATTTCCCTCAATTACATGCTCTTGTCCCCAGTCTCAGTTCATCAGCACAGTGCAGCCAAGTCAATGAAAGGCTCCATGATGAAGTAATCACATGCACAGGGACGTCCGCTGGGCTGGCAAGGCTGCTGCAGCCATGCCTGGCCTGAATCAAGCCTCCTGGGACTTCCACCCTGCAGGGTCACCCGGCCGCCCCAGGAGCCTGTGCTCCTGCTGCCATCTTCTTTCACCCAATCACAAATGCCTTAATTGCAAAGTGGAAAAAGGAAGGAACTAGCTGAGTGGGAGTGGTTGGTACCAAATACTGGCCACTCTCCTTGTCCCCTGCCTGTGCAGTCCTCCACGGAGAGGCTGAGCATGAAAGCCAGTATCTGCACCAAGAAGGCCTCTGTGTGCTGAGGCCAGTACTGAGTATCTGACAGAAATGGTGGTGACACAACCATCACCTGACTGAAGTAGATGCTATCAGAACTCCCATTTCACAGACCAGGAAACTGAGGCTCAGAGAGGCTAACTGACTGGGGAAGGTGACAGAGCTGATCCAAGGTCCATACTCTTTTTTTTTTTTTTTTTAAGAATCTAACCTTACTTTTTATTTATTGGTTTTTATGTGGTGCTGAGGATTGAACCCAGTGCCTTACTCATGCTAGGCAAGCTCTCTACCACTGAGTCACAACCCCAGCCCAGGTCCATGCTTTTGACGGCGGTCTTCAGAGTGGACTCTGCCTGTGCTATCCAGCTATCAAATGTGCGTGGCACTGAAGACATAGCTGTCAGCACAACAGGGAAGCTCCTGTGGCAGGGCTGGGAAGGAGGGTGGGAGAGAAGGCCGACAACCAGCAGCTAAGTGGAGGAGGAGGAGTGGCCAAGTCAGATGCTGAGCGGGGAGAACCTTAAGGCAAGAGATGGGAACAGAAGGATTCTAAGGGGCATTTAACATGAGAGGCTTGAGGAGGGCGACATTTGTACACAGACCCGAAAGAAGAGAGGGTGCGGTGCAGAGGCTGACCCCGGAGGCCTTGGAGCAACAGCAAGAGGCCTACCATAGGATGAGGCTGTCCTGCTGGAGGAACAGTGAGTGGAGAAAGGAGAGGCAGGGAGGATGTGGGCTTGGCCAGGTCTTGGGGGCAGACCAGAGAGTGCGAATACATCAGGCCCTCGCGAGAACACCTCCTCCTGCTCAGCACCTCTTCCTCACGGCATATATGGCTATGGACCCACCATGCTGCTTGGTAAGTAGTGTCCAGCGTAGGCTGTGGTCCTGACTCATCCCCTCAGCAGTGAGCTCTCTGTGTAGGGGACAACCCGCACAGCTTGCACAGTGGGCACTGCAGGGATTTCCAGCAGAAAGGCTCCCGTGCTTCTCTAAATATGTGGGTGCACAAAATGGAAATGCAGATAGACATGGAGGGTGGACGCAGATACAACTTCCATGAGCCCTTCTTTCCCTTCCCTGCAGGAGCTGGCCTGTGGTACAGAAGCACAGAGGGAAGGACACGGCCCAGCATCCTTTGCCAGAGTCGTGCGGCAGCACAGAGACAGTCTTGACACCCAGAAGCAGTGCGTGGCCACCAAGCTCCAAAGCATCCACCCGAGGGAGGGCAGCACCAGGACAGGGGTGGAGCATTCAAGGCTCAGAGGCTGCAGTGTGAAGCCAAAGGGTGGCCCCTGGCCCTTCAGCATGTTCCATCTCTGAGATCTTACTGCCCCTCAAACCTGGATTTCACAGACTTTATAAACTCATCAACTATACTAAACTATAGGACCTCAGCAGTGCGACCGAAAGGTGAGCTCTTATGAGAACAGTATGAATTTGGAATTGGGGCTGGTTATCCTGGGGAAAAGTCTGCCACCACTCCCCCTAGTGACACACACCCCTCTCTGCTGCAGGTGTCTCTCTCCAGGTCTTGGGCCTGCAGCTCAGCGGGTAGGTTCAGTTAGACAGCATCCCTATTTCTTCCGGCTGCACCCAGGACTGGCTATCTCAGGCCACCCCAGGAGCTCCACAACACAAAAAGCTCTCACGCCCTGAGCGTCTCGGGTTTTGATGCTAAACCCCGGTGGGGGAGTTAGAGCACCCACAGGGCACTGGCCTCCCGGAGAGAAGAGAGCTGGATCTAGGCCAGAATCAGGGGAGAGGGGGCACAGAGGTATCAGCCAAGCAACAGGCAAAGCTGACTACCCAGAGGGGCCCCTTCCAGGCCTGCTGGGGATCCAGCAGGAGCAGAAAGGCCAGGCCAAAAGCCAGAGCAGGAACAAGAAGGCACAGAGCAAGGAAGTAATGGACGAGGAGGTAAAAGCCAGAAAATGGGAGCTGCACGGAACAGGAAGCAGAATGGGACCAAAGCCACCCCAGCTGAAAGGAGACGCCAGTGTGGGTTACCACAGCGATCTGAGGTCCAGGAGGACGCTGGCTAGAGCGAGACTCCTCCCTGCCCCATTTCATTCCACTGGACTCACCAGAACTGTGTTTTGGGGAAGGGGCCAGAACGACTATTGGAGCCGTGACTTGGCTGCTGCCTTTTACAGTCCACTTCCCAGAATAAACTGCCCCAAGACTTCACCATCTCCAAAAAAGGCAACTACAAAAACGCTCCTTGCCAGCCCCTTCCCTCACCAGCACAGTCATCCTCCCCTCGGGTCTCGGGCTGGGGGCCGAGGGGGCCGAGGGGGCCGAGGGAGGCAGTTCAGGCCTGGGACTAATTGCTCTTGTGGATGCTGTGCAGGGTGGGGGCTGATCCTGCGCTGAGCAGTTAGGAACTTCCCAAATCATTAACCTTTCTCGGAGTGCATTGTACTGGGAGGTGCTCCCTCTGCAGCCTATTCAGGAGCCCTATTGATCTGCCGCACACTCGGTGCCTTCAAAGTTGTTTATGATCAATATGCAAATTGCCCATGGCATTGATCTAGTATTAATTTTCAATTAGGGAATCCACAAGGGGTCTCTGAGGGTCAATACCTAACAATGCAAAGGAAACTCCGCTGCTGTGGAGAATCGGGCCTGATACTGATAAAAGCTTCCCCAAGCCTCCTTCTCCATAGTTCCGGGCCCTCTGGGCTGTCACCTTTGCTTTGGCTCACTTGGGTGCCTCCTAAGTCAGACCCCTTCAGCCTCCTCCCAGGCTGGATCCTAGGCTGCTGCCCTGTGGCTCCTCCCGTCCCTTCAGTGCCACAGGAACCTTCCTGGCCTGCCAGTGCACTCCCCTGACACCCACCCTGCTGACCAGAGGCCCCCAGGCATGCCTCCTCGGCTCCCCATGCCACACCCTGCCCGGGACCACTCTCTCCCCCAGCTCCCCAACCACACATACCTTCTTCCTCCCTCTCTCCCTCTCCCTTGTTTCTGCTTAGTCACGGAACGTCACCTTGGCACGCTGCCATGGCTGGAGCTGGCGAGCTGCACGGTCCCCAGAAATCTCAGGCAGTCAGGCAGAGCCGCCGGGCTGCCAGGTTATGCTTGGCGAACAACCCACTGATGTCATTTCAAAAAACCAGGGGAAGGAAAGAGGCACAGCTTCAAATCATCTGTTTCTCCTTCTTTCTTTCTTCTCACAAAATTTTTCTTCCCTAATGAAACATGGGGGGCGGGGGGAGGTTAATTACTTTACCACTCACTCACGGTTCCCAGAGGAGGCCGTGGCCCGCCCTCCAGGGGCACAGGGCAGTGCGTGTGAGTTGCTGATGGGGGGCGTCCCTGGGGAGGGTGTGCCCAGCTGGGATCAGAGTGACCCGGGAACTCTGTCATTCCATTACGCCCCTAACAGCCCCTCAGAGACTCTCGTGGGAAAGTTGTGCAACCAGAGGAGCAGGAGTACAAGAGTGTGCCCTATTCCCCACGCAGCAGGTACCAGGCAAGAGCCCCCGGGCTCCAGCACGGCCCTGCAAGCTGCCCAGGGCTCCGAACCGCGGTGCTTTCTTTACTTTCTGCTTCTGGGACAAACCCTCTGAGCATGAGGTTCTCCTGGCCCACAGTGCTGCACAAGGACCCAAGCCCATCATGCCACACGGGGTGGTTGCCGGCCACTTTCGGCACTGCCACTCACCACGCTAACCGGCGTGTGAGCTAGCCGGGCTAATTGGTTTATGGATAACATTAATTACCATGTTGCTCATTAATGGATGAAATCTTTATTGGTGCCATTGATCAGTGGACTTGTTAGCTGGCCTCCTAACCAATGGCGGATGTAACAAGCTTTCTTATTGGCATATCAATTAATGCAATCAATTCCTGGCCAGCGGCTGCCATTCGGCTTGCTGGTTGTGCAGGGGTAGGAGACAGACCCATAGCCACCGTGCCTTTACTCAGGGTTCCCAGTGCTCAACTGAAGGCCGGCTGGTCTCCGCTACTTGGGACTACTTATTGAAAAATTTATACCTGCCCTTCCCCTTTGAAGGGCATATTACATCCACCCTTCCACCCCAAATTCTGGAGATCACAGAAGTGCTCTACCAGATCAGGTGCAGAAGCCAGAAGGACAGGGGGAGGGGACTGTGCCAGTGCACAGGAGACTGGGGAAACAGAGGCACTAGAATGGTTCCGTCCTCAGTTTGGACTCTGCACAACACTCTGGGCAATGATGGGAAGATCCTGAAAACACGAAGCCCGGTCACTAGCCTTTGGCTTGCCCTGGGGATGTCTTCCAGGTCCCCTGACTTCCCCAGCCACAGTCATACCCATGATGGCACTGAATGGCATCCACCTCCCTCCCTGCCTCCTGCCAAGGCACTATATGAAAACACCATCCACTTGTCTTAAGTCCCGAGTCCCGAGCCAGGACAGCTGCCCCTATCGTCACCATGTGCCCAGCAAACCCACGCATACACACAAGTAGTAGTCTCACGTGAAACGTGTACAAGACGTCAATCAACAGCGCCTGTGTCACCACATGGTCCCAGGAGAAAAACTTCCCCAGGCAACACTGAGTCTTTGGGTAGGTTGGTTTAGAAAAGCTCAAGGAATTGGAGACATGGGGTGGATCCACAGAACCAAGGGTCAGAGCTGGGCTCTACTGACAGCCAGGGAACACCAGGGTATTATTACAAGAGCAAAGGGGATGAGCTAGATTAGGCCCTCAGCTTTGAGAAGAAATGTGGAGAACGCCTAACCCCCAGGACGTGCTGTTCAAGGATTAAAGGGAGCTTGCCCCCAAAGGGAGTATTATCCCAGGCTTCTTTCTAAAAGTCAAATAAAAACTTAACTTTTTAATTAAAAAAGGAAGAAAATCACTACTCCACTCAGTAGCACTAATGCTATTAATAAAACTCTGCAAGCAGGAATATTTAACTCAAGGGGACAGGGTACAAGCCACAAAAACTGGTGAAAAGCAAATGTCGTGGGGAAAGAAAGCAGTTTTTTCCCAAGCAGTGACAGAGCACAGGATGCCATTCATGATCAGGGACCTAACTTTGTGTGTTTGAAAACACCATTCAGGACTTCTAGGATAAACATTAGAAATATTTCTGCTCATTTATAAATAGAAAGTGACATTTTTCCACAGGGTGCATCAGCACTTCCATATTCATAGGACAGAAGAGTTCTGAACAGACTGAGGTAGGGACCAGAGGGTGGTGCCTCAGCCAGTTGTCAACCTCTCCGGGTGGAGACAGACACCAGAGAGAAGAGGGTAAGAGACCTCAAGAGAGGCCAAGTCTTCTTCAACCCACAGCATCTCTTCACATGAAATACAAGGTGGCACATCCTATGCAGGGGTCACCAGATGCTTGTGACAGAGAGCTGCCCAAACAAAGGGCCCTTCAACAGCCACTCAACGCCAAGGTGGTGTTTCCAGTAAAAGCAGTCTTGGGTCCTTCCAACGGCAAGAGCCCAGGTGTGCCTCAAAATACAGTGATGTCTGAACTGCTTTCTGGGGAACCACAACACACTGCAGGTGTTTGGCACATGTTGATTCTGATTTCGTTTTAAACACTGTAATAATAAAGGCTACTCAAATGTGGCATATGTCCAAAATTTAACACGCTGGAGGCCAGTTCAATTAGTTGTAGGGCCACGTTAACTAGTTTTTCTGTAGATGCCAGAATAAAATGTCTACCATTTCCACATAATGGAAGCCTCTTCAAGATTGCGAGGCTGACTACCCAAACCATTACTGTGCAGAGCTACTTCTGTGTGGATGAGAACTTATATAATAGTGGATGAAAACAATATAATAGTGGATGAAAACAAAATACAGAAACAAAACAAAAGCTCAGCCAATACTATTTAACTACCTTGCATAATTCAACTCTACCTTGTTCTTGTATCTTTCCTTCAGAAGTAAATGCTACAAATCTGAACTCTAAACATAACTATAAAGCTTTTAAAAATTGTTCATGTAGTGGATTCCAGTTAAATTTTTTTTCTTTTGTTTACAAACCACTGCACCCACAGTTCTGGATTGAAGGGGAAGTGCACACTGCAGAGGGCCTTCCTTGAGACTCAACCTGGATAACTTGGCGATTCTAGCGAGGATGTGAAGTCAACGGAACACTCACATGCACACTCAGCCGCTATTAATCCCACACAGGTGCACAAAACATGATGCAGGAGGCCATGCGATGGTGGGAAGGTGATGCCGATCTCAAAGTATTGCTTTATGTTGTATATTGTGATTTTGATTTAAAAAACTATGAAAGAGAATGATCCTCAAAGGCTTCCCATGGAAAGAAAACCAAATCCCTCTTAGAAAGGATCCCCTTGCTTTCTCAACACATTGATGAACACTCAAAAGAGTGGCAGCTGTCCTTGCCCTGATAATCTAATAACCAGGCAGAACGCTTCTATGGTGGTTTTCTCAAGAGCATCTAAGAAGCAGGAAATAGAAATTGACCATTTGTTCACTGATGCATTCACTGAGTCATGAGTCAAACACGTTCATTAGTTCATTCTTATGAGGTTCCGGCCATTGTGGATCTTACTGGGCAAGTTCCACTCCTATTCTTGTAGACTTACCCTCTGGTAGATCCTCCATGGGTGACATGAGATAGTGTGTCAAATCCAACTGAGTTGCTGAACTATCACGCCCACAGGCATTTGGATGAGAAAATCACGTCTTTCATGGAAGCTCTGATCACCATGGGCCTCAGATCGTCTAACAAGATGGCCAAGCAAGGGCTGAGGTGGCCCCACTCAATACCAGCAGTCAATAGCAGGAATCTATTAAAGAATCAAGCCCCACCCACACCCCGAGACTCTGATCCGTGCTTCCCCGAGTCTTCACCTGGGCGATTATGTATCAAGGTTCTTCCACACCAAACACAATAATAAATCAAATCTTATCAGAATTGAGCTATAAATCTGTGAAGACTCCAATAATTTCCAGCCAAGGGAATAACACCACAAAAGTACTTTTTAAACTAATTACTCAGATTCCGAAGTGCTGCCCTAATGAGCCTTCTTTCTGCCCAGAACTTACTAAGAGGAAAAAGTACCTTCTGGTGCAGTAATTACTGCTTTCCCCTTCAAACTTCTAACTGGAGATCGATGCTGCATTTTAAGACCCATTGATTTACAATTAGCCTGGCTTTCCTGCTAAAGTGTTTTTTAAGCAGAGTTTACTTTTATTTTATTTTGAAATCTCTGAGATCTGGTTCTTGGATTTTACATCCT